GGGGGGGGGGGGGGGTCTTATTTTATATTTACAGTTAAAATTTGTTTTACATAATTGCAGTACATAAAATTGATTTATAAGTAGTTGTTTATAATAATCACTACCAACTAAAAAGTTCCTTATACTAGTGGTTTTTGGTGTCAATGGTAACAGCTCGTAGGAACTCAGTCATACAATCCCAGTTTTGAGTTGGAACCAATGAATTTTTTTATGGCTAATTTAATAAACTTCTTCTGCGGCCCGGTTTTGAATTTTGTTAAAAGCGTAGGAGCCCAATATTTTACAGAAGAATTAACCTAAATAACCACCCGCCCAAAAAATAGCAATGTATAATCCATATATAATGTGTATAATCATGTATAGTAAGTTTAAAATCTATGTATACCAAAAAGTAAAAAGTGAATCTGACCGATTATTTGTATAAAGATATCTTTTATAACGGAGTGCAGGTCCTTTGCAAGCTTATAGGAAACCCCAATTTAGTGGAAGAATTAACCTAAATAGCCGGCAATCGAACTGCTTAAACTTAAAATAGCCAGCAAATGTATAGTATATATGTGTATAAGAGTGTATAATTTATGCATATCGGCTAAAAAAATAAATAGTAAATCTGCCGGCTATTTATCCCATTTTTGTTTGGGTCCAGTTTCGATCAGGGCTATCTTTTTTGGAATTTTTACACAAATAGCCAGCCATATTAATTATTTTCTTTTTCTAGCCATATACATACATTATACATAATTATACACATTTAATATATAAATTATGCATATAATATACATTCGCTGGCTATTTTTAGTTTAAGTTCTAGAATGGGCGGCTATTTGGGTTAATTCTTCATCTTTTTGCTCCAAAATGGCCCATTATCAACCCGTAGATATTAGGCCCAATAAACTCTCCACACTTAACGCTGCTTTTGACTGATCCTAGATTAGCCACTCTTTCAAGTGAAGCAATGTTACACAAATGCATTTCTCATAAATTAGTCTGAAGACGAAAACATATTATTTCACCAGCAAGTAACGCATGAAGTATATCAATATTCTAAACTATGATAAAGTTCCAAAAGTTAAACTTCTTCCATTTGTTTTTAGAATTATTTAAGATGAGAAATACTACAAATGCTCACACATAGTGCTACGGTTGCATTTATCGGTAGCATCTTAGTCGAATTCCTTTATTTTGCAGGCAACACGTAGATTCAGTTGGGTCAATTTTACAGAACAAAACAAGTATAAGATTACGGTAATCAGTTTGTACAATTTTATAAAAACCGATGGTGCTGGAACTAAGAAAGGATTTGTTTCCTGGGCATCAAATATTGTATAAACAGATGTAAGTTTTGGTTGTCATAGGAGCAAAACGAGTTTTTGTGAGTCAATACTGACCACTAAAACTAATATTCCCCCGTTTCAATTGATATGCGCAATTTGACTGAGCATGGAGTTAAAGAGAGACAGACTTTCTGAACGTGCAGTCTAAAATATATCGTGAGATTTCTGTAGTTATGAAAACATGTCATTAAAAGTAAAATGGCGAGTGTAAAATTATTATTTTTTCAAATTTAGAAATGTGCAATTCTTTTATATGCCCTAATAAGAAAATATGCAACATAAAATGGAACAAATAGAATAAGAGAATATGCAACATAAAATGGAACAGAATCAAGCTCTCGTGTTCTAAATTATACTTGGTACGAGAGATGGTTCCACTAGAAATATTTTTTTCAATAAATAAACAAGAGTAGTTTAGTCAGTATAGACACAAGAAAACATTGTAGTAACTACAATAATTTGACGTGGGGATCTTTGGCCACATTCAATAGAAGAATAATTTTAATCTTATTAAAGTTCTGGTGATCCCACTTGCACTTTCTTGTGTAGCCCGTGACTAGATTATTAAACTATAGTATGCCAAGATCAAATTTTAAGCTTAGATGGCTAGGGCTTCACCCTTCCTTGTCAAGGTTTGCTCAGATTGACTTTGGTTTTCTTTTGGGTAACGCTCTGGCATTCTTGTATTACGGGGATTTTCTTTCATACTTTGACATTCAAACATGATCTCCTATATGAAAATCATGGCATCTAGGCTCTAGCAAGCTCAAATTGGTTTACCAAGCTTTTAGAAATAGACCCAAAAAAGGTTATTTCATTGTTGATTATGCATATAACTTACTCCCTCCGTCCCAATTTATGTAGATATTTGACTAGGCATGAAATTTAAAAAACAAATAAAGGAAAACTTTTGAAATTTGTGATCTAAAACAATCCATACAAAATTGTTTGGTTAGAAATCATCTCATTAAGGGTAAGAAAGTTAAAGTACAATTATTACTAAATAGAGAAAGGTATCATTCTTTTTCTTTTGGGACTGACTAGGAAGGAAAGAGTGGCGGTATTAAAGGAAGAGTTGTACCTTTTTGCTCCTTTTGAAAGCTCATTTCATACATCCATGTAAAGGGGAGTTATCCTACTTCTGGCCAATATGTAGTCTTAGCTGCACACTCTATATATGGCATTTGCCACTTTGTAGCTCGAATCAAGAGGTAAGGCCATAACCACTACTTGTACTCTCTATATTTTGATCTATGATATTTTCACCCAAGAAACACTAGGGTGATTTTTCCTTTTTTAAAAAAAGGGTCTAGCTAGTGTGCGATAAACTACATAACATAATTATGTTTTACACTGTCAGCATGCATAATATATCATCGATAAAGGTACGAGATAAATCAATTACTAGAATTTTAATATTGAAACTCAACGTGGAACATTGAAACCAGAAATTCCTTCTTCACATACCTCCAAGATCTACAAAAATTATTCTTCTTGCCAGCTAAAATTCCTGGCTTACACACATGGTTTTAAGAATGTTTTCTCATCATTCTTTTGCCTCCCTCCTTACATGCAGCCTATAAAAGCAAGCCATTCATCTTTTCATTCTTCATCATCTTAATTCAAAACATTTCTCTGTTATCTCTTTAGCTAGCAAATCTTGCACTAGCTTTGAGATCAAGATGGCCAAGTCACTAGCCCTCTTTCTTGTATTCAATATCCTTTTCTTCACAGTAGTGAGTGCATGCAGCACTTGCCCTGGCCCTAAACCTAAACCTAAACCTAAACCTAAACCAAAGCCAAAGCCATGTCCCCCTCCTCCTTCTTCTCAAGGTGGCAAATGCCCAACTGATGCCTTAAAACTAGGTGTTTGCGCTAATGTGCTTAATGGTTTGCTGAATGTTACCCTGGGAACTCCACCAGTAAAACCATGCTGCAGTCTTATTGAAAATCTTGTGGACTTGGAGGCTGCTGTCTGCCTTTGCACTGCCCTTAAGGCTAACATTTTGGGAATTAACCTTAATCTCCCTATTTCTCTCAACTTACTTCTCAATGTTTGCAGTAAGAAGGCTCCAAAGGGATTCACTTGTCCCTAAATGGTTCTCTCACTTTTCGTTTTTCTTCTGAAGTTGGTTTGATTTTCATTTGTTTAGCAGTTTGTGATGTTCGATTTATCTCCTGCATTAAACTTCTCGTTAGGTGCAAGGTTGTGGTTTGTTTTGGATTGCTTAGCGTTGGAACAGGCTCTTGAACCGCCAATTGTTTGTATGCCCTTTGGAAATAAATATATTTCTTGGTATGATTTTTGTGCAGTATTCATATGCCTCTCTACTTATGATGTACAAATTTTTGTTTGTTTGGGCCCGATTATTCCATCTTTGGTCTCAGAGGACATATGTCGAGCACCTTGTGGCTTTCATAAAAATCTAACTTTCTCATTCTAGTCCATTTCAGATAACATCCACTAGCTATAACTAAGGCAAAACAGCAAATTTAGTGCTAGAAAATCATAATTGAGAGAAAACCGCATCTAGCATTCATCCAAGTTAGAAACTTTTTCTTTTTGGGTTTCCATTTCATTAGAAAATAAGGAAATATGAGATGGGATGAGGACGATCACGTTGTAAATTTAAAAGTTGAACTTACATGAATGTGGCAAATTAAACTGCGAAAGCCTCTGCTTCGTATTCAGCGGTAAGGGCTGCAACAGAATTGAATTATTGAGAGGCTGGATTTGGAGAGACTTAGGACTTTGGAGATTGCCGACGTCGGTTCCGATGTGGTGAGGAGAAGAAAATTGAGAGCCTTCATTTGAACGAAAACCTAAGAAGATTTCGTGTGGGCGTTTTCTCTGGCATCCTTTTTCTTTTGATTGATTTATTTCTGTATTTTATTTTTCGGGCTAAAAATGTAATGAGGAAATATTTTTAATTTCCCGACTTAAATCTTTGTGAGACATTAACGAGGACTATCAGTTTTCTTTTTTAAACTCAAGCAAAGACTTTTATTTAATCAGCAATCAACAAGTTTACAATAAAACTAGGAGCATACTTTCAGTTTAAAAAAACAAGCATAGTTTTTTGATTCTCTTACCAAATAATGAGCAATTAGATTTATAAAAAAAAAATATATTCCTTCGCTAACTTTCCTATGGTGTAGGAAAATCGTTTATATGATATTTTATAATAACATTTCGACAACTAGTTATCAAGCTTTCTACCTTTGAAAAATCATGGTTTTCTATGCTAAATATGTAAGACTGGTCAAAATTAATGTGCAATCAGGTTTCCTTTGTTGTAATAGATAATTTGTTTTATTTCAAGATTAATTATAAATAATAAATAAAATTCTTTACACGATGTACATCAACTTAAACTCATGTCAACATAGATCAACTGGTGCAAATATTCCTAACACATTTACTTATCATCATTTACCATTAAGCAAATATTTCCTCCTTTTCGCTGTAAGTGAATCTTTTCGGATTACGAAGTCAAACTGATTAATTTTTTGTGTGAATAATATAAATTTTTATACTAGGATAACTTATACCGGAATAGTAATCCTATAATAAGTTATCCCAAGATAAAGCAATAAAATTGATAATCCCAGAATTAATACGGTTTACCCTTAAAATTGGATAACAATTGAATTTGTAAGTAGTTTTAAGGATACGTGGACTATCTTGATACAAATTGATAAATTAGATCGCAATTGAAATAAATAATGACAAAGTAAATGCAAACCACACGAATTAAATAATATCAGCATTGGAAGGTTAGCTACCCTCGAGCTAGGTATGCTTCAATCAGTGTCAGGTTACACAAGAACATGAGCTTAAAGAGAAATAATAACAATGTATTGCTTTGGGATACGTGTTACAATATCGCCAATGAATTATCATACCCTCTTTATATAGTAGAGAAATTCTATTTTAGGTACAATTCTATAAAAGGTAAAAATCCCTTGATTAGCTGATTGACGGTTCCTTACTGATACGCACCGAGATTCCCGTCGTAATATTCGACCGGTCACGAATATTTTGGTCTTCTGTTGGTCGTGCTAACAATGTTTCTTCGAGCTCGATCGGGGCTAAGATCGACTCCGGGATCAAGGACTCAATGTTCTCGAAGGCAGGCGTTCTGACCCCGGGTCCTAGCTCGGTGGGACTCGAGATCGATCTTCAGCCCTTGGTTGTCATGTTCCGAGCCTAACCTACCATGTCGTAAGTGAGCTCGATTTCGACTGTGTACAGATAGTCCCCTCGTTTTTCGGAGAGTAAACGGCGAGAAACGACATGAGCTTCTGATCCTGACTTCGATACCCCGTGGCAGAAACGATAAAACAGTCAAAACATCTCGTCAGTCAAGTCTTAATGGCATTAAATGCTTGTCAGTTGCTGGTCGACCACTCCTAGATGTGAATCGTCGCTGAAAATTATAAATACCCCCTCATTTGTTCATTCAAACTTTATATTCAAACTTTCTGCCCTCGTTCCTAAGAAATTTTAATATTTCCAAGCACTTATATTCTGGTTACTTTGAGATCTTTTATAAGAACTCTCATTCGTCTTTATCTCAAACCATCGAGTGTACTCTTTTAACTTCCTCTTTTTCCTTATTTCCTCTCCATAAAGAAATGGAGAAAACTTCCAAAACCGTTCCCCAAAAAGAAACTCCTTCTATCTCGCGGCTGGCTATCGAAGAGACCGCTTCACGTACTGCTGTCGAGGAACCATCATCGGAACCTCCTATAAATATGTTCATCCTGGGAGGGTGCTCGGTCATTGGTGATTTTAAAGTCGAAATCCCTTTTTCGTACCAGGCCAGTGTAAGGAAGTCTCGAGGTATATCTGCTTGATCACCGAGGATATAGTCTCCGAAGTAAAAAAGGATTGTAACTGGGCTGACAAACATGTGGTAGTTCCCGAACCTGACGAAGCCATCACCACCCACGTCGAGGGATTTTGAAGTGTTTACACTTATCCCTTCACGTTGGGTCCCTTGGACCCGATTATCGTCGACTTTTGCAAACGGTACGATGTAACCCTCGGTCAAATTCACCCTTCTTTCTGGAGGATCATAATCCTCCTACGTTTCTTTGTAAGCAAGATCGAAGGGTGCCCTTTCACTATCGACCACCACATGCGTTTATACAGTCCCCGACTCTACCGGGGGGGACTGATCAAGCTCGCCCGCCGGGCCAGTAAGGCCCCATTCTTGAGTATCGATAAAGATAGGGATCAAAGTTTGATATTCTATTTCGTCTGAGTGAGGACCTCAGACTTGATACCTGCCGAGCACACGTCGTTCCCTGAGAAGTTGAACATGTCACGTAAGTATATAATTTTGCTTCCAAGATTTTATTTATCGCCCTTTTCATTTCTTCTTATCGGTGTTATGTGATGGTGCAGTTATTGCTCATCTCCCGAATGCAGTTCCTCGACTCAAGGAGTGGGTCGAGGGCATCATCTCACAAAGGTCTTATTTCGAGCGCTCATGGGCCAGCTTTCAAAGGGCCTATGTGAGACCCCTTCACACGGTGAGATCTCTTTCATGAGTAATATTTGGTTTCCCTTTTGCATGATCAAGTCCTTACTTGTTTTATTTCTTTATGCAAGTTTACCCAAGGATGTCCAAATGAGGCCCCCATCCGGTAGTGACGATTTCCCCATTGAGTCCCCTGCTCCGAAACAGGGTGAAGGAAATGAATGGGGTCGTTCCTTAATAGTAGTATCGCATCAAGTGAATTATGTTCCAGTTGTTCGGTAGTTGCTCACCGTTCATTGTTCTAAGCTTGTAGGATCCTTTACCGGTGATCTAGATAACTTGATAAGGTCCTTCCCAGTTCGGCCCCAGCTTTCCTTCGTTTGGGTTCCGAGTGTTTAGTGTGACCTTCCTTAACACTAAGTCCCTGACATTGAAGTGTCGAAGGTTGGCCCTTCGAATGTAATATCTCTTGATCCGCTATTTTTGGGAGGCCAATCGGACAAGGGCTGCTTCGCGCCTTTCATCTAATAGATCTAGGCTCGTGTTCATAGCCTCGTCGTTCGATTCCTTGGTTGCATATCAGAACATGAGACTTGGTTCTACGACTGGTATTAAAGCTTCGGTGTCGTAAACTAGTGAGAACGGGTGGCCCCGATCCCCGGTACTGGACTTCGAGGTCGTACGGTATGCCCATAAGATTTCGGGCAGGATTTCCTTCCATTTTCCTTTGGCGTCGGTCAACCTCTTCTTGAGGTTTTGGAGTATGGTTTTGTTAGTCGATTCTGCTTGTCCATTCCCACTAGGGTGGTAGGGTGTAGATAGGATCCTTTTGATCTTATGATCTTCGAGAAACTTGCTAACTTTGCTGCTGGTGAATTATTTCCCGTTGTCGCACACGATCTCGGTCGGCATTCCGAACTAGCATATGATATGGTCTCAAATGAAATCGATGACTTCCTTCTCCCTGACCTTTTCGTATGTTTGGGCTTCCACCCACTTAGAAAAATAGCTAGTCATAAACAATATAAATTGAGTCTTACCCAGGTGCCCACAGAAGGGGGCCAACGATATCCATTCCCCACTTCAATAACGGCCATGGTGACAAAACCGAATGCAGCAGATCCCCGGGCTGATGAATCATCGGAGTGTGTCTTTGACATTCATCACATTTTCGTACGAACTCCTTCGCATCCTTTTCCATATCGATCCAGTAGTAGCCGGCTCTGATCACTTTCCGAACCAATGATTCAGCGCCTGAATGATTTCCACATGTGACTTCATGGATTTCCCTCAAAACGTACTCGGTATCCCCTGATCCTAGACATATCGCGAGTGGGCCATCGAATGTTCTTCTGAACAGGGTTCCGTCTCCGGATAGGCAAAACCAGGCTGCCTTTGTACGCACGACCCTCGATTCTTTTGTATCCGAGGGTAATTTTCTGGTCTTTAGATATTTTATATATTTATTCCTCCAGTCCCAAGTTAGGCTCATTGAGTTAATCTAGGCATGTCCTTTTTTCACTACCGATCTCATAAGTTGTACGACTGCCTCCAAGTTAAACTCATCGTCCTCTACCGATGACCCTAAATTAGTGATGGCATCAGCCTTACTGTTTTGATCCCGAGGTACGTATTGCAAAGTCCATTCTTTTAACCGATGTAATGTTACCTGCTACTTATCCAGCTGTCACACCTTCTTTTTTACGGGGATGAGTTTTTCCAATTTAAGTGAAATTATTTAAAAAATGAATTAATTTATTTTAAGAGTCGCCACTTGGAATGATTGCTTAAGGTGTCACAAGTCACCAACTTATTTTAAAATCCAATTCAAGAAAAGTTGACTCTGTTTAAGTCTGCGAAACACAAAAGACCGGGTAAGAAATTCTGTTAACCCAGGAGAAGGTGTTAGGCCCTCTCAGATTCCGTGATTTTAGCACGGTCGCTTTATCATCACACTCGGCTTAATTAACTGATTAATCGCATGTCTAACCCTATGTGCATTTTAAGTCTTTACTGCTTTTAATTAACTTTGTTAAATTATGGAATTATCTTTGAAACGAATCACGTATGTGTGAGTCCACTTTGTTTGGGTGTCAAAATCATATCACGCATACGTATACATAATTAGCGTCACTTAATTATTTATTAAGATTGTTTTGCCCAAAGTTGCGCGAATACATACCTTGATTTTAATTTTTGGAGATCATACTTATGTCACGTGAACGTATACATAATCACGATAATTTACTTAATTTAGAGCGCACCTAAAGCATTCCAACACATTCATGATTTGTTAAGATTTATTTGTCCACCTTTATTATAAAAGATTGGACCAAATTAGTTATGGTGAAGATAGAGGCTAACATTTCATTATTTTTCTTCTTTGGTTGTAAAACTTAAATTATTTGTTTGGTACAAATTTATTAAACATCGTCATGACC